CTTGGCCCATTCCTCCATCTTCAGGCCCAGCAGCCCACCATTCCGTTTCAGCGCCACATTGCTGCCTTCTTCAAATATCCCTCTGCCTCACTTTCATAGAGACACTTGTGATTATATTAAGGCCCACCTGGATAGCCTAGGATGATCTCCGCAAGATTCTTAATTCCATCTGCAAAACTCTTCATGCTATGTAAGGTAACATATTCACATGTTCCAGAGATTAGAACCTGGGTATCTTTGGAATCTATTATTCAGCCTACTGTAATTCTAATTCTTTACTGGTTTTCTAAAATTCTATTTTGTGACGGCTTTAGGATTTATTAACAATTGCCCTTGTCTTGTACCTTTGGCTTTTTCCCCAATATTATGCTATTATAAGCAATTCTGAGATTAATTTCTATATTCACAAATCTTTGTGTGCATACTTGATTGTATCTTTTGTATAAATTTTGCATATGAAATTATAATTCAAATATATGTGTGTATATATTATATGTACGTGTATATATGGACACATACATTTATACATGTCTTTGGACACATATAATATGTGTTTGGACACATATATATGTGTGCCTACTACATGTATGTATATGTATGTGACCATGTATGGGTCTGTGTGTGTATATGTTTTCATTCTCCAAATTGCTTTCCAGAAAGTTAGTAGAGAGTACTTATCTTCCCCATGCCCTCACCAACATTGAGTATTATCTTTTTTTAATCTTTACCGATGAAACAGGTAAAATTTATACCTAATTGATGTGTTTCTTTTTCTTTTTCTTTTCTTTTCTTTTTTTTTTTTTTTTTTTGAGATAGAGTTTCGCTCTGTTGCCCAGGCTGGAGTGCAGTGGCATGATCTTGGCTCACTGCAACCTCCATCTCCTGTGTTCAAGCAATTCTCCTGTCTCAACCTCCCAGCTAGCTGGGATTACAGGCACCTGCCATCATGCTAATTTTTTGTAGTTTTAGTAGAGACGGGGTTTCTCCATGTTGGCCAGGCTGGTTTTTAACTCCTGACCTCAGATGCGCCACGTGCCTCTGCCTCCGAAAGTGCTGGGATTATAGGTGTGAGCCACCGTGCCCAGCCTGATTGATGTTTTAATTACATTTTATGATAACTAGTAAGAGTTAACTCTTGTCAAGCCTGACATTATATTTATGCCCCTATGAATTAACATTTATTTTAACCTTTTTGTTGGTATAGAAGTGATATAACTTAATAGAACTCCTTGACTAAATAACTTCATGTCCTCCCTGACATACTATCTTCTGATGTGTGGAATAATTGGAATTGATCTTAGCAATGGAACGAAATTCCGATTGTTACAGAAGCATGTGATTTCTACCTCTCTATATGCTCCCTGTATGGTACTTTGATGAAAACTCATACTTCTCATTTTAATGGCATAATTTTCCATAACGTTAGATGTATGACCTGGAAAAAATATTCAAGAAAAGAAGAACAGATAAATTAACCTTAATCTTAAATTACCGAAAGGTCTTAGTGTCAGCTACTAAAGGGCTAAATATAACCATGCTGACCCACTTAAACCAAATTGACACTTCTTATAATTGCACTATAATTCATGCTCAAGAGCTGTATAAGAAATGATGCACCTTAGACCCAAGCTTCTGGATCAAGAAGCACCTTGTCCTTGAAGTTAATTCCAGATTGAGCATCTAATGCAATTATCAGTAACCGGGGTTCACTGTTACCATCAAAAAGCATTTAGCACTTCATACACAACTAGTTGTATATTTATGCTTAAACGCAATTCATTACATATCGTGGTCTCTGTTGAGATTTTGAAATTTGAAACAATAGACCTGCCTAATAGTTACAGCTTATATAGATAATGGAATGGACTCATGAACTCATGAAACTGAAATTGAAATAGACAGGAAAAGGTTTTTAAAACATGTATAGGGTCAGTCTAAAATATAGGCAGGTGGCCCTAACTTTGTTATCACACATCTTTCTAACCTGTAGCAAATCCATCCTCACTCTCTTCTTTCCCCTGCCCACCCCTTCACCCCCAATCCTTTCTCTATCTTTTCTTCCCTTTCTCCCTTTATTTAATATTCATCCCAATGGTGGTAGTGATGGTTTAAAGATGAGGGGATAAAGCCCCTGCCCTCAAGGAGCTCTTACTCTAATAGGGACTGATAATGTACACAAACTGATTTGAATTTTGATACAGTGGAAGAACTCTGTCATGCAGGAGCTCTCAGAAGCAGAGCCCAGTAGAGGGATATCTAATTCATTAGAGATGGGGGACTCCCATGAAGGCTGCCTAAAGTGACAACAAGGTTGGTCTTAAAACAAGATAGGAGTTAGGTTTTCTGTTTGTTGGGTGATGCATTGATCTCCAAGTGTTGCTGTCTACTTCATAATTGGATTGCTGGCTTGGCTGGAGGCCAGTGCTCCATGTGGTTTATTGATAGATCTTCCAGAGAGCTGTTTTAGAATGGAGAGATACACTCATCTCTGCATCTCGCCCAGTAGTCTCCTTCTTTTGCATGACCCCTTCATCCCTGTAAGGATGCCACGCGTTTTTCTGGCAGTGTGTTCAGCTCTTCTCCCATGGGGTGGAACTCTGTTGGGACTAAGTTATGGAACTTCCGCTGCTTGAAAGTCAGAAGGTAGAATGCTGGAATGTGCTTGCAAGACGTGATTCTGCACCTTCCCCAGTCCTATGGGCTGCGCGCCATATGTGTATTCTACTCTACTTATCCATCATACATATCAAGGAGTCACTCACTGCCTTGGGAGGTAAGTGCTTCATTTCCCATATCTATGCATTGTCTTCTCTTCTATTTTGTTAGCTTATAGGTTATCTGCTAACCTTTTCTGTGTCTGATTTTCCTGGGATCCAGAGAATGCCTGAGAAAGACCTTGCATTCTCTTCCCATTCTGGCCAGTCTTCAGCCTGTACTTTACTTGCTTTGGACTGTATACTTTACACCACTTTTGGAGATTGTGTAGTTCTTTGCTCAGCCTATCAGGAAATAGAATTCTTATGTTGTTTCCTTTGTTTCGGGGTTTTTTTTTTTGTTTTTTTTTTTTTCCTTTTTTGCTTCCGGGTTAATGTTTCTTTCATTTTACTCATTCACTTTAAAAATCTGAAACTCTCTTACCTTGTGGTATTATTTTAAAGTATGTTTTGGTATTTTCCAGGATGATACAACCTTGCCTATTATCTGTCTTAGTTTTCAGCATTGAGACCTATCCCTACAAGTTAATTTTTGTCTATCTTTTTATCTTCCTCCATATTTTAGCACTGTAGTGCAAATTTGTTTAATAATACTAGAAGCGCTTTCTTTCAACCTGTTCCTCATTGATGTAACTTTCTTCCCATTTCTATCCTGGTATTAAGCTTTATTTCTTGGGATGTACAAAATGATTACAAGGATTGCTCATTCAGGACAGCCAGTTTGCTGTTCACACTTCTAGCCTCAAACTCTCAAGACTACATTTAGAAGGTATCCAAAGTGGACTTGAAGTTGAAGGTGTGGACAGCCCTGGGGAACTAGTCACTTCTAGGTGTTCTGAAAATGGGCATGGGAAAAGGTCAAAGTTAGTTTAGGACACAATCCTTAGAATAGGCTAGGATCAGGTAGAGTGCTTATGAAATCTCGACTTAGTGTCTTATTGAGCATGGCGTCATGTCTCGAATGTCCTGCACAGGTAGCTGACAGCTTTGCAGACTTCACACCTCCACATTAGAAAACTGAGTCTTTTCATAGAGTCTAAGTTCAAGACAAGACTCCGGGCATATTCTCTCTTAATATTGTTCTATGTGGACTGGAGAAAACCCCTTCTTAAAGGGCATATGTTGCTGGGCGTGGTGACTCATGCCTGTAAGCAGTTTGGGAGGCTGAGGCGGGTGGATTGCCTGCAGTCAGGAGTTCGAGACCAGCCTGCCCAGCATAGTGAAACCCCATCTCTAGTAAAAACACAAAAAATTAGCCAGGCATGGTGGCGGGCGCCTGTAATCCCAGCTACTCAGGAGGCTGAGACAGGAGAATCGCTTGAACCCGAGAGGCGGAGGTTTCAGTGAGCCAAGATCACACCACTGTACTCCAGCCTGGGCGACAAGAGGGAAACTCCATCTTAAAAAAAAAAAGGTGGGGGGCTTGTGTCAACAGGTGGGCAGTAAACAGAATTCAAGTCAGTAAAAAGGACCTGGCATTTTTTGTATGTAGGAGGGGAGGTAATAGTGAAGGATTTGACCCTTTCTTAACTACTTATTTCTTCCTAAGCTTGCATTTTAGTAGGATGAGAAACTTATTTTTCAGTTTCATTTACCTTATAAAACCAAGGGCTGACAATATCATTCTGATTAAATGAATGAAAGTTCTGAATCACAAAGTTTGTCCATTGTTGTATAGGCTTAGTTGTTACACAATAGAAAATCTTGCTGAATATCTGTATATTGACCTAGACCAGCTATAGTCTTAAGACTTTCCAATAATCTCAGTTCCCTCTTTGTTCTGCAGTTGAGTTTTACTGCAGTTGCAACGATAGTTTCTGCCCATATAATGATTTTGTAGGAAAATGTCAGTAGTTTTGACAATTTTAATTCTTGTGTTTACCGACTGCTCTACCTTCTGAATCATATGTAACCAAATCAAGTCAAACAGGTTAGAAGACAAGTCATACTTCAGTGTCACATCTACTCTTATCTTCATGAGTGTGGGAATGTACCATCCACTTTCACTCACTATATTAATTCATTCTGGCTCCTCATGTACTTAACCTATTTTTATTTTTTCAGTCTGGATACAACCCAAATCCTCCTAAGCCTTTTAAATGCAAAAAAAAAAAAAAAAAAAAAATTAAAGTATATGTAGTTAAAAATACTCATGTCTTTACCCATCTTTACCCATTCCTTTGAGAATTTCTGTAGAGGCTTTCTCAAAATGCAGAGAGTGGAAGTAGTAATAACATCTGATGCCTGGAGATTGGGGTATCTGTCATTTAATCAAGAGAAGAAATAAACATTTTATGTCATTGATATATCTGTTTTAGTTGCTATCATCTTTATAGGTTATGCCCCATCTTTATAGGTTATAGGTTATGGGCTTTTCTAGAAAAACTATTGAGAATATGAGAGTTGGGAGGTACTGAGGTCCTCAGGTTTTCAGACCACCTAGAGGTTGTGTTCTACTCACTGTATCTCCTTCAAGTTTTCTCTGCTCCAACAGCTCTCAAAAAATCCACTCTTGTGTCAGCTCTTTTCATCTTTGGATCCAAACCCTCTTTCACATAGTTCTTATAGTTTCACATAGCTGTATTCAACTACTACTTGTTCCCTAATTTTTTTCTTCTTTACTTTCCACACAGAGTTCTTCAACCCAAAACGTGTATAGCACAAGTTCATGTCCACCTTGATTACTCTTCTCCGTGCAGCTTATAATATGTAATTATCCCTCTTGATCTTGAATACCTACAAGTGAGCACAAAAAGTTATTCTCTGGGCTTGCCTTTGAGGAGGGGACATGGGACTCAAAAGGAGTTCCCCTTGAGTTTGATTGTGACATTTCTTAGAGCCATGTAAAGACCTGAGGAATGTTAGCACTGATATCTTTCCAGCTACATTATATAGATAAAAATAAGAGAAAGTCTTTAGAATTTAACGGCATCTTCATGGGATTCTTAAAAATTCAGTATTCTTTGAGAAAATCAACGGATCTACTAGTACTAATAGTTTCAGTGCATCTTAAGAGAAATAAGAGATACTTGGGCTTCTGAAGTATCCATTCAAAAAGGATTTACTAATATTAAATGCCTATATAAACCCAGGAGCTGTCAGGTTCTGAAAATATGAAGATCAGTAAAATGTGGTTTTAGCCTTGAGAAACTCAGGCTAATAGGAAAGACAGCAGTAAACAGTCAATTATACACAGTGTGATCAGCAGCCCAGTAGAGACATGTTGAAGACCCTAGAGAGTAGAAAGAAGCACATTGTGGGTGTCCTCTGCTCCAGTCTTATGTCTGTCCGCATAGTATTCTTTCAGCTTCTGTATACTGCCTACATTTATGTGCAGTGTGTGTAGACGCTGCATGAAAGGGCTTATGTATGCCATCTTCTCTTCATTTATATATGTCAGCCTCTTAGAGGTTGGTCCTATTACGGACCCCATATTGCAGTTGGGGAAAATGGGAAGAGATTTAAGGTCATAGTAAGTGCCTATCCAGAATTCAGACCCAAAATTTTGCTCTTAACCAGTGCTCTGTATCACCCCTCTCAGAGAAGCCTTTATCTGGAAAAATGGTTCCCAACCAGGGGTGATTTTACCTCCCAAGGGACATTTGGCAATGTCCTCAGACATTTTTAATTGTTAGCACTGGCATCTAGTAGGTCAAGGTCAGCAATGCTGCTAAACACCCTCCAATGCACAAGAAAGCTCCTCAGACAAAGAATTATCCAGACTATGTCAACAGTGCGGAGGTCTAGAAACTGCTCCGGAGCTCAGGGACTATCTTTTGTGTCAGCCTTCAAAACGTATTTTGCAATACTTAGAAATACTTTTTAAAATAAGAGCATGGGGCAAAAATGCTGGACCAAGCTCATTAATATCTGTTGAAGTGTGTTTTGTCATTTAATGTCCCTGAATGTTTGGGATAAAGTCCCAAATGTAAAATTGAGAAAATAATACCTTCTTTGTCTACTTCTGGGTTGCAAGGATCTGTGGAGGCTCTGTAAGAATGTGAGGCGATAATGCATACAAAAGCCTTGGACACGAAACATCATCTAAAACTCTTGGAGCCCTTGGTGTGAAAATATTAATGTGGCCACAAGAATTAGATAAAGAAGATCCCACCGCAGGCTTCTTTTTGGTTACCCCGCCTACCTTGTCAGCTTACACGCCCTTTACCTTCTCTTTATCCTCCCATCTTTGTAAGCGAGTTTGTTCCTAGTATTTACTGCATGGATTAAGCCATTTTTAGAGGTAATTTTTGCTGAATATATACTTTTTTGATTTAGTATTTCTTCCCATATTACACCAGACTTAAGGCAGCTAATTTAAATTATATTTTTTCTTTATGTACTTTATACAAACATTCATGGATGGGGGGAGATACTTAAATACCACGCCTTTCTTCAAAATGAGTAACAAGAACATTCAGCCCCCTTCATTCCGTCCTTTCAAGGTCTAACGTTCTTGAAGGGGCAATACTTGTAGCATTTGCCACATAAATGCCAGGTTGTGTCTTTCCACGTCGGGGCTGATCATTACCTAGATCTGTAGTTGCCAGCCATGAAGAAAAACAGGTGTGCACCGTGGTCATTGATAGAACAGATGTAAACTCATCAATTTAGTATACTGAGGTTTTCGGTGAGTGTGGCTTCCCGTCCGCGTGCTTTTCCTATACAACCAGCGGCGTCCCGGCAGAGGAGTCACTGTGGACTTCCCTAGAGCGTTGTCAACGGCCATCCCTCCCGCGGTGAATCACAGGTCGGCCTCAGGTGCGCGCAGCACACACCCGGAGCAGCCGCGGGTTTATTTATTTATTTATTTCCGGGACGGATCCATTCCGGGCTCGGGGGAGGGGGAGCAGTGGCCGAGGCTGCGGGGCTGTCCCGGCACTGGCTGGGGTCACACAGTGGCCGCCTGCTCCTTCTCCCGTGAGCCCCCGCTCCCCAGGCACGGCCGGGGCTGGTGGGGGGAGCGGGGACGCTGGGGATGGGGGGCCGGGAGAAGCTGGGGGCGCGGCCACCAGGCTGTCCAAGGACAGGGCCCTGCCGCCGTCTCCTTCCAGCCGGACCCTGGAGGGGTCCACAAAGGTGTCAGGTTCAAGTCCTCCAATAGGCCCATTTTTAAAAAGTGCTTTCAAGTTTCCGTTTTTTTCAGGAGGGGAGGGCAAGAGCAGCTTTTTCTATTCAAATTCTTTTCCTTGTATGTAGATACCAAAAGGAAACTCGGCACTGGGCATGTTCGGATGTGAATGGTTTTGCTGATAAGCAACAGCCTCCGGAACCAAAGCCTCAAAATAGTCGTCTCCCCCGCCCCCCGCAGAAGCTGCGAATGGTATCTGCCAAACAGATGACAAAGTACCTCGGACTGAATCCCACAGACAGCGTTTTGAGCAGAACACACGGCTCAACTCTTGTAATTACTGTTTATAGCTGGCCGAGCCTGACTAGGAGAGGGCAGACCCGAGAGGAAATCAGTTTCCCGGACCTTTGAGAGGAGGCTGTGTGTTAATTAAAGACTAGGACGGGACGGGTACTTCTCAGACATGCTCCAAGTTGTTCTTGAGATCACAGTTCCCACCACGTTTTCTCTGGAGGGAGTGAGTAGATAATTGGGATTTTTTTTTTTTTTTTTTTGGTCTTGTCTTTCTTCCTTTTTTTTTTTTTTTTCTTCTTTTTCTTTTTCCTCTCCCCATTTTAGTCATATGGCCTTGAACCCACAGTGAATTGAAGAGAGAAAGAAATGGATATGTCTGACCCCAATTTTTGGACTGTGCTCTCAAACTTTACTTTGCCTCATTTGAGGAGTGGGAACAGGCTTCGGCGAACACAAAGGTAAAAACGCGGGGATCTCTGCCTGGAGAGGGAATGCTTTCACTTCCCAGAGGCCCACAGGCCCAGCTGCCTGTGGGTTTTGTGTATTGGGTGACACTTTGAAAAGTTTCTGCCCTGTTAGGGGAGGAGGCACTGTTTCAGGTATTTCATCGTCCTTGTGGTTTCCTGGGTAACCCTGATAAATGTACTTCTCGTAGTTTTTCTCCTTTTGAAATGTGGATAATAAGACATTTCCTTGTGAGAGGTGGGGAGAGAAAAAGGGAAGGAGGAGGAGGTACTTTGTCTAAGTGTGTCCTTTGATCTGATCATGTTTATCCATTTCATTCACGCAGTCATTGAGGCTTCTGGTACTTCTCGTTGAGCCCTTCAGATGTTCTTATTAAATATTTGACCTTTGTAAGATGCAGATGTACAATGAAAGGATAGCCCAGGTTAGCTATTTCATATTATCTGTGGAGAGGCAGATCTACATAACTTTGTCATTTTGATTTTTCAATGGTTTGCTGACATTTATTACTAATACAGGACTGGCCTTTTCATTTTGTAACATATATTTGACAGAAAAGATGGGGAAAGAAAAAGAATTTTAAACTCAAGATGAGACTCATGCCACAAGTGACAGGCAGTTCCAAGAGTTCGCTGACACTTGTTTTGAGAGACTATGATTTTAAAGGAGGCATTTCTCGCCACATTTGTGTCCAGCACAGAAAAGTAGGATTGTTGTGCTTTTAGAGGGGCACACCCTCTGAGTTGTGTTAATACTGATTCTTTGTTTTCCTTCAAAACTTGCCTTGCATGTGCATGTGAACATGCATGAGAGCAACTTTGCAGTCAAATAAACAGGATGCAGGCTATCAGATTTGGAGCTTCACAATCTCTATGCTTCGGTGTTCGAAGAACCCAAGTAAATGGTCTGTTCTTTTTGATTATACCTGTAAATTTTTGTAGTATAAATGTGGATGTGTGATACTTTAGAAAACTTAGTTTTTCCTTTTGAAGTTTTTCATGGTGTTTCTTACATTTCAGAAACATCCTGGAATACTCACATACACTGTTTATATACACAGGGGCACACACAAATCACATGTGCACCTGTGTGTATGAGAGAGCCATCCGGCAGGTTTCAAAGTCATATTTGCTTTTTGATGCAGTTTGAAGTATTGAAACTACTAAACTATGTTGGATTCTGAAGTTGTGCCTTTTAAATAACGTGACTGTGTTTTTCTCATTCTGCCATATATGGTGAGAGACCCTCTCTTGTAGTATTGCTCATTTTTGTTCAAGTTGTGTCAACCATGCATCAAACCTCCAAGAAACTGATAGAGTTGAAGGAGATACATGCTACACATGAACTAGGCCATTGCTGATTATGGTGATAATTCGTATAATTTCTTACCATTTCAACTTGACAGAATCCCTTAAATATTTCTGAGTTGTGTAGTCCTGGCTGCGGTACAGCTTCTACTCTTCCCTGGAACCAGTTCTTAGAGAGAGAAGTCTGTTCTGGCATCGTATGTGTATGTCTGAACCTTGTAGAGCAGTTGGAGCCTTTCTTCTTCCTACCTACCTGTTGACAGTATTATTGGAGAGTCAGATGCAGGAGGATTCTCAGGCTGCTCTCAGCCTGGCTTTAGGGCAGTACCTATCCTACCTGAACACTCCAGTTCAGACAGCTCACACTGACAGAGAGCCTAGGTTCTAAGGTAACCTGAATTCTTCCCGGTAAAATGGGAGAGCATTGGGTGGGCTGTTTCCACCCCAAGTCATGAACCCGTATCTTCAGTTCGGCAAAATAGAGATGGAAGTGGATTTTCTTCTCCCCGTTTTAAGAGTAGAGGTTATGATAGCCTGTTTGTTGCTGGAGATTTTCAGGTTTTGCAGTTTGGAAATAAACATCCCAAAGATCATCTCTGCATCCATCGAGGCATTATCTGTCTCAAAGGACTAGCATTGCTTTATGTTTATTATGTAGATTCGGAAGGCCAGGTGTCCTCATCTCCAGGGCAGCGTATGTGGCTATTGCATCCTGTTATTATACAGTGATCAATTCTGGCTCCATGTCCTTCCCTAAGGACATGAAACATGTGCTTACATTGTGACTTCCACTTTTGGGATGCCTCTTAACTGTTATAAATCCTGTTTCCTTTTCCAAGTCTAACCCCATACCTTACCTGGCTGAGTAGTTTGTCTCCTTTCCAAAGGAACTTTCTGTTCCCAAGTTGTCCTGTTTTGTCATCCTTGATAAGGGTGTCCCCAGTGTCCAGGTGAGGACGCCTTGCTCTCACCATCAATCAGATATGCCTTAACCCTTGAGATATCTCTCATTCCCAAAGTTAGTTCCTTTCCTGCACACTTGCTGACTTGTGTGACAGATTGTTCATTTTGAATATTTTATACCAGCTATTTGTTCGGACTCACATTGTATTCTGGAGGACTTTATCTTAGCTTTTTTTTAAATATCAGCTTCTTGCTTCTATCAAAGGGTGAAATTCAGCTTTGAGCCTGTGAATGAGCATCTTAGAACTCATAAGGATAGAATGTTTGTAACACTTAAATGAGAGCTTGAATGGTTTCAGACTCTTACCTTAAACCTTCATTATAGTAGAAATTGTCATCATGGATACTTTTGGTTTGCTACGTTACAGTTGCCTTATAGTTCAATGTGATGCTGGTTTGTTAGTTAATTTACTCTCGGAGAAAAATATTGAAGGTTTTTCTTATAACCTACAGCCCTACTTTTGCCTGTAACTCTTGGGGTTCCTGGGGAAAGAAGCCTACAGGCATACTCTCAGGCCTAGATTCTCAAAGATGACACGGTACTGATGAACTGAAAGACTCTGTCTCTTGTGCTGTGTCCCAAGGACAGTATCTTATGCCCTTCATTCTTTTTTGTCTTGACCATGGCAGACATGAGATTGTTGGAATGCACGCTGGCTTTTGTCTACTGTTTTGCCATACAACTTACATCTTCCATTGGAAATAGTTCCTTCTATATAACTGGCTTTGTCCTTCTCTCCCTTCCCCTCATTTCCTCAAGGTAGTCTCAGTACAGCCATTCACCTGCTGCTTTGAGGGACAGAAACCTAGGCTTAAATGAAGAGACTTTTTATACCAAAATGTGTTGGTTTAGACTGAAGTAATGATTGCATGTTTTAGAGATTTTCAGTTTCATAGGTCTGTGGCTATTCCATTCATTGAGGATCCTCTCACAACTCAGAATGGAAATGAGTTGGCCTGTATTCACGTCACTGCTTATATTTATAGCATCTTTTCTTTGCCCATTGGATTAAAAACTTTTGGGGGGAAACAAATCAAACTTCTCTTTTAATTATATCTGCTCTCTGTCACACCTTAAGGAAAGGGGTACAATTGATTTCTAAATGTTGCTGCTAAGTTTTGAGTTGGACCTTTAGTTTTGCTGAAGTGCACTCTTGAGACTCCAGAAGATGCTTGTGTTTTAACCTTAATGTTCAGAAATCTGTCATGTTTTCATTTTGCTTAAGTGATAATCTCTTAACCTTGATGACGCCTAAATCAATAAAACCATTATCCATGCCAATGGGTAGTTTGTGACTCAGTTCATCACTTTCAGCAAGTTTCCATTATTTTTCTGAGAACAAAAAATAAGTTTTTGGGGTTTTTATTTTGGTAGGTTTTTTTTTTTTTTTTTTTTTTTTTTTGCAGAATTCACATTACTCAGCAATTGCTATGAACAGCAGGTACCTTCAGGGATCTTAAGCTAAATCCTGTAGTTGTCAGGATGTATTGAATTTTTTATGCGTTCGGCATCTTCCCTTAAGAAACATCTGTAGTGTTTGATGAGATTTTCCTTTGTTTTGTTCATGAATGTATGTCATGACTATGAGAACTATGGAGAATCCGCTTCCCTCTGGCCCGGGTATTCCAGGTGTTAGTAAACCTGTACTCACCCCTTTTACCCAAATCTCAACTCCACATTTATTAAGCACCTAATTGTGTACCTGGGCACTGTGACCCAATTCTGAAAGCCATAGGCTTGCTGTCAATGAAGACAAGTAAATGAATCATTGCAAACCAGGATAATCCAGAAGTATTTACAAGGTACATATAAGCCATAGGAGTGGTCAGTGGGTAACAGGGAATTTGGTCTCAGGGAGCCAGAAGAGACACCACATAGAACAGGTTTTGAAAGATATTTTGGTGTTGACGAAAGTGAAGAACAGGGCCTTTCCAAGGGGCAGGAGAAATGGTGTGTACGAAGGCTTGGTGACCTTGGCAACGCAGAGTCCCAGGAACTAGACATGGCTTAGTATGGCTGAAGCAGAGAGTTGGAAGGGGCAGTACTACACCGTGGTTAAGAGGGTCGTTCTGAAGCCCATTCACCTGGGTTGACATCTTGACTATATGAGATTGGTTATGTTAACTTTGAACTTCAGTTGCTCCGTCTATAAAATAGGGATAAGTATTTATCTTATAGGATTGTTGTGAAGATTAAAATGCATTCATATGTGTAAAATGTTTAATGAAATGACTGGCATATAAAAATTCTCAATAAATTTTAGCTGTTAATATTATTGCTGTCATTACAAATGAAGATGAGTAGTGGGTGATGAAGCTGGAGAGGAGAGCTGTGGCGCTTGGCATTTGAAGGAGTTTGGTTTTGATCCTGTGCTGGGGAGACATGTCTAGCCATACTAGGGTTTAGGTCTGGGACTGGGGATGAGACTTGGAAGCCAGTTAATAAGTTCTTGGGGTAGTCTATTTAAAAGATTTTGCAGGGCTAGATAAAGAATGAAGTGAGATTGTGCCTTTGAGAGATATGAAGGATATGACTTTGAGAGAAGTTGGTGAGCCATTGGCTCTGAGGGAAGAAGAAATATTCCATGATGGCCCTGGGGTTTTTGACACTGGGAATCAAGGAGAGGGAGGAACCACCTGTACTTATGAGAGTGAGGCAGGGGAAAACACAAGAACCTATATTATACTTGTCCCTTTTGTCCCCTGAAGCTCAGTTATTCACA